CTGCTTCGTGGTGTTTGCAAGTGGATTTAGTGGTGATTCCCGCCCCCCCACCCACCCAACCGAGCACTTTAGCCACCCTGAGGATGAACATAAGGGAGCCCATTAACATCCACATTCGCCACTGCCACATGGAGGCTAAAGTGCTGAGACAAGAAACAAGCACCTGGAGGGAAGGCGAAGTCTGAAGTTACCTGAGTCTCCAAAACACTGTGGTGCTGGCCGTCCCACTCCTGGGGCCTTTCCTCAGTGCTCTGTGGCCACACCTTGTTTTGTCGGATAAATTCTTCCAGCCTTAAAACCTAAGACAAAGATAAGTAATACTGGGCCATGGCAGGAAGTCTCGCCTCTGGGGCAGCCGTTCTCCTGGCTTAGCTGGTTCTGGGGAGGGGGACCCATGCCACACTGACTGCTGGAAATACTGTTTCTTTTCTTTTGAATGTTTTTTCTTTTATAAAAAAAGAATTATTTATATAATTTTATTATTATTATTATTATTATTATTATTTAATTTGCTACAGGATACATGCACTCACCAGAGAGAGACAGAGAGAGAGGAAAAGTGAGAAAGCAAGCCGCCAGGTCCAAGACTTGAACTGCAGTTGGCCATGTGGGAGTCCAGTGCCTCAACCACCACACCACCTACTAGCCCCTGGGAATGTCATTTCTAGTTAGCTAGCTGCTTAGTTGGTTCAGAAGAAAACGAGCCCAGCAGTTTACAATACCCCACACTTCTTTAAATGAATTATATGCATACATCTGTACTAGGTCTGCAGGGGGCTTTCATGCCATTCCTGGAAGGCCAATTTCTTTTGAAAAATGTTAGTTTGTAAAGAAAATGAACAACATTTAAGAATTATACAGATAAAATGAGAGAAGAGTAGATGGAGTGTGCTATTAAGCCGTAAAGCTGCAATGATGATGATTATTAACCAGCTAATTAACCTGTCAATTAGACCTGTGCTCCCAGCAGACTTCAGGAGAATGAGGTCAATAATCACAACAAAACTCAGACAGTGCTAGAATCTTTGCAGAGAGTCGAATACTTGTCAGGCACCCTGCTAGGCACAGGAAGGGAGAGGCAGGGATGGCGTGAGAAAGAGAAGAGTAAGCCCACGAGCCAGTCACCATCTTTGAGGAGAGAGTCCTGTCTATAACCACAGCCACACTCAGTACAAGGAGTTCAAAATAGCAACTGCACCATTCACGTGCCCTTACTCGGTGCCAGGCATGGCCTGACCCGTGCCAATGCCCCTTTTTTGGTTTGTTTAAGAGAGATTTTTCTGATAGGGTGCATGCGCTTGCTGGAGACACAGAGACAGAAAGAGAGAAATCACCACTTGGAGGGATGGCCATGCCACAATCCCTTCTCCTCTATCCTCCTCTTGGGATTTTGGGCACACACAGGTGCCCGGCATGAGTTTCAAGCTGCTGGGTCTAGAATTCAAGCTGGAGTGGGTCATGTGGGAGTCCAGTGTTGTAACCATTATGGCATTCTCTGGTCCCAGTACTAATTCTTAAGCCTCCCAACAGCCACTAGGAGGCGAGAGCTGCTACACCAAGTCACAACAATAACCTCTGCTGGGGGGTCCAGGGGCTCCAAGGCACTGAGGGATGATCAGGGTGTGCTGATGGTGGACGGTGACGTTGGGGAGTGCATGGCAGGCAGCAAGACCAGCAGGTGGAGGTCAGGTTGCATGGACATGAGGATTGAAGAAAGCTCCATGTTGGAGGACCAATCTTGGAAGTTAGCAGTAGTGAGTTGGGTTGAAGTCAAATTGTGAAAAACATACGAATTCGAGATTTTAAGAAAGGTGAAGTGGGGCCTTAGGCAGATTTTGGCTTTCAGACCATGAGACCCGGAGTGAACGGCCAGGGGCCATGTAGAGGCAGGGAGATCCGTGACAATGCCGTTGCAAGACTCGAGAGAACATCACAGAGGAACAACGAGGCCACCAGAACACCCTCTGGCCTTCCATGAAGTGTATCTGGGAGAGAGATTTCGAGATTATGAATCTCTCCTTACAGTGCATCTTCTAAGGTTTACGAAATATTTCATTTGTTCACATGACATCTGTGTGAGCGTGAAGGAGGGTCTAGGTCAGCCGCTCTGAGCACCTCGACAAGGCTTTGGTGTAGAGAAGGGAAGGGGTGGAACAGCTTCAGCCGCAAGACCTGCAGGCCTCCACAGTGAGCAGGGGTGGGGGCAGGGTGTGAGGAGGGGTGGGGGGAGCAGGGCGCGGTCGAGGCTGGCTACCCCAGCTGTGGTGAGTGGGTGGGCAGAGAGTGGCGTGATTGGGGGGACAGGCTGAGTACCCCTTATCTAAAAGGCCTCGGACTAGAAGTGTTTAGAATTTAGAATATTTTGGAGTTGGGCATATTTGCATGTACAAAATGAGATATCTCAGGGATGGTCCAAGCCTAACCATAAAATCCATTCATGTTTCACACATGCCTTGCACAAACAGCCCAAAGGTAATTTTGGGTATTTTTTTACTGCAGGGCTTTGACTGCAACAGGTCCCATGAATCTAGGTGGGGAATTTCCCATTGGTGTAGTCGTGTTGTCACAAAAAGGTGTCAGATTGTGGGGCTTTCCGGGTTTGGGATTTTCGACGTCCAAGCTTACAAGAAGCTGAGAATGAAGACTAGACCGAGGCCCTGTGCCCAAGCCAGCCCCTCGTCATGCCCTGCAGTCTGGTCACCAGAGGGGTGGTAAAGGCGGTCTCCGTGCGGCGGTGAAAGGCCACATTGCCGGGTGTGAGTTCCGGGTGTGCTGCTGTGAGCTGCTCGACTTGGGGCGGTGACAGACCTTCCTTGTCCCTGGTTCCTCGCCTGCAAGTTAGAGATCTAACGTGTGCCCCGTGAGTGCTGAAAGGGCTGAGAGCATCGATTCAGGTAAACAGCTCACACAGTACCTTGACTAGAACAAGCGCTTGGCAAGGGTCAGCCATGATTGTTTGCTTAAGGTTTGTGCAATAGGGTGTGTATGCTCCTAGAGAGACAGAGTGAGAAGTCACTCCCCGGGGGTGGTTACGTTACAATCCCTTCTCCTCCACTCTCCTCCTGGTATTCTGGGCATGCATGCACACGCGCCTGGTGTGATTTTTGAGCTGCTAGGTCCGGGACTTGAACGATGGTCAGCCATGTGGGAGTCCAGCACCTTAACCACCACATCACCTGCTGGCCCCACCACTGCCGTTTTTAAAGAGGAATTCTAAGGAGAATTCAAAGAAATAGAAGGATAACTAAACGGGTCTCATACAGATATATGGGAACTCCAAAAAGCTCATGGAAAAAGGATAATAAAATATGAATTTATTTTGGTACAAGAAAAACCCCTTGAAATCCACATGTAGTTTCCGCCTAATACACATTTTCCATGAACTTTGTGAAGGCTGTGGGGGTGCCTGTTTCTCTCTCAGCAGATCTGGGACTCATCGATTAAGTAAATAAATAAACAAATATTTAAAAATCCAACCTGGGGAGCCAGCAGGTGGCACGGTCGTTAAGGCACCAGACTCCCACATAGCCGACTGGGGTTTGAGTCCTGGACCTGGCAGCTTGCTTTCAGAGATTAGGGTGCTAGATCCCACACGCCAACTGCATGGTATGAGTCCTCACCTTGGCGGCTTGAGAATCACGCTGGATACGTGTGCACCCATGCTCCGAATCCTGCGGCCTGCGGCCTCCTTGTTCCAGCCTCCCACATCAGGCTCTTCCTGCAGCCAAACGGGTGCCCCTGTGGGATATTCCTGCCAGCCAGCTCCTCTCCCCCCCATGGATGCGGGTGCTCAGGGCTGTCTCTGAGACCCCGGGCAGAGCCACCCTGGAAGCTGTGTTACTCAGGCTCACCTCCTGCAGAGAGTTCTGGAGCTTGGTGCCAAGGGCCACTTTCTCCTCCTCCAGCTGCTTCACTTCCTTCTCCGAGTTCCTCTTCACGTCCTCCAGCTGCGCCTCTGCTTCCTAAGGACAGTGGGAGGGTCAGTCTCGCAGCAGACACACGGAACTCACCCACCTTACTCCCAAGGGCTCCAAAGGCTCCGAGAGGCACGGAACAGTACGCACACCTGTGGTGCAGGGAGTCAAAGCCAGTGTTAAATCCACACCACCAAGTCGTGTCTGGGCATGGGCTCAGATGGGAGGCACTTGGCTCTGAGCTTTCCAGTGGCAAAAATAGAAAGAGAGAGAGAGAGAGAGAGAGAGAGAGAGGTCTCATGACTCAAAGGCCGACTGCAGGCCAGGCATGTACCATGTACTGCTGGACGCAGCTACTCAGCAGCAGAGGCCACATGGAGGCCGATTTGACTCCTGGCCCACCAAGAGCCTGGCATGGTGGCTGCTTGTCATCCCAGCCCTTGGAGGCCAAGGCAGAAAATTGGGACATAGCAAGACCCTGTCAAAAACAAAACAAAACGAAAAAAGCAAAACAAAAAAAGCAAAAACAAAAAAAGCCAACTATGTTCTTCAATGCAAAGAACTAGTAACAGTGGGACAAAATTTCCCCTCCTCAGCAGCATCCACACATTAGTCAAAATGAGGGGGTTCAGGGCAGGCCAGTGCCATAGTGGGTAAGGCCCTGGGTTCTCACATGACCACTGAGGTTCAAGGCCTGGACCTGGTGGCTTGAAAATCACGTCTGGCATGTGTGCATGCGTGCTCCAAATCCCGAGAGCAGACTGGAGGAGAAGGGATTGTGGCGTGGCCTTCCCCTGGGGGTAGGGATGGGGGGTGATTCGACCCCCGTCCCCAGCAAGTACATGTGCCCTATGTCGGCCTGAGTCCGATTCACTACAGCTGGAAGGCTTGGTCCTGTACTCCCAGCGATGTGGGAGGGTCACAACACAGTGAGTCCCTGTGTGAACACCACACACACACGTGCACACACACACTATGAAGTAAACTGTGTTGTGGCAAGGATTGTGTAGACAGGCGGCAGTGAAGGAGGGTACACGTGAAAACTGAAAGGGGCTTATAAATCTTAGTGCAATCATTACCCCACCTGCCCAAACTGAGGCACAGCAAATAACTCAAAAGTACAGACAAAAAATGGAAAATGAAATGCAAAGAAATACTCAATGAATCCAAAATGAACAGAAAGAAAAGGAGAAAACAGAACGAAGAAACAAGTAGAAAAAATAGCAATAGAGTGTTAATTCCATCGAGTGTCAATGATCTGAATAAAAAACATGACCTAAGCTCTCCACAGACCACCTGTCTTTGGGCCAGAAAGCAGGCCGAATCATTTTATAAGTAACAACACAATAGAGTATATTCTCTGACCACAGAAGAGTCAAATTAAGAATCAGTACACCTAGATTTGAGGCCTTCTCAAGGATTCCCCTTCCCCTTATCTACACGGTCTAACTTATATAATTCATAGTCTCCATTTCTATGCATGAGCAAAAAGTAAAACAGAAACCAAGAAGTGAACACATGTTGTTATATGACATGATGCACTTGCCAGATGGGCTCATGTCCCTGTTAAAGCTGAGCTGAGCGTACATTCAACGCGGGTTTGCTGACAGGTTACCAGGGCGACAAGGCGCCGGGGAGAACGCTGCCGCCCCCTCCTGACTGTGGCTCAGGGTGCAACCTGTCTTCTGCATGTAGGAAGACCAGGTGTACGTGACCAGGCACAGCCCACGGGGAGAAAGGCGTCCACACAGCAAGCAGACTCCAGTCAGGCATGGTTCGGCTGCAGCTCTAGCACCGAGTAGCTGCCTGGCTTTGCAGGGAACCTCTTTTCTTTTCTTTTTTTTTTTTTTTTGAAAACAATGATTTATTTACTTTCATTTATTATAATTGTTGTTATTTTAAATTTGCTACAGGGCACATGCACTCACCAGAGAGAGAGAGCGAGAGAGAGAAAGAGAGAGAGACAGGAATGAGAAAACAAGCTGCCAGGTCCAAGAGCCAAGTCGCAGTCAGCCATGTGGGAGTCCAAGTCGCGGTCGGCCATGTGGGAGTCCTGTGCCTTACCCACCAGGCCGCCTTCTAGCCCAATAGGGAACATCTTCGAGCCTCAGTTTCCTCATCCCTGAAGTGGGAAGTGAACATCTGGTGTAACCCGCTGGAAGGATCACATAGTGGCTAGTGTGAAGTGTCACCAGTGTCACGTCTGGGCATTGACAGTGTCGTCCTGGGCTCGATGTCGCCCACGCAGGCCTTGAGTAGCAGCCACTTTGCCGTAACCGACCTTCCACCACACGCCGCACTGGCCCAGGCCATACGGAGGGTCTCGCCTCTAGCCCAAGCGCTGGCCCTCCTTGTTGCAGTCCCAGTTTGGACATCAGACTTTCGAAAGGCCCAGTGACCTCTCTGGCCACACGACTTGGGCCCCGGACCAGTCTGGGCCTTGCGTGAGCCCTGTGCTCTATGGCACGCATGTACCGGGCTCGCTACCTGCAGCACCACACGGCACCGCAGCGCCCCTCATGTCTGACTGTTTTCAGTGACAACAAAAAGCTGCCGCCGATTCTGGGATCTTCAGGAGACTTTCTTGTAATGACACAAAGCATTCCACCCCATTCCTAATCACGTTGACTTACACTTCCTTCTTTTCTTGAAATCTGCATCTATGTGATTTGGTTTTCCCAGCAATTTTGAAACAAAGCCTTGCATTCCCTCGGGGGGAGGCCACCCCCTTGATGCAGACGGGCCAGCATGGGGAGATGAGGCAAGGATGGCCTTCTCAGGCCACCGCCATGGTCACCGTGGCTCCCTGCTGCCCGGCCTGCCCTGACCCCAGGAAGCCTCGCTTTCTTCTCTGGGTTTCCTTACGTCCGTGTCCCCATCCTCGCCGCTGCCCTGTGCAGGGCCGTGTCACCACAGGCCATTCCACACAGAGGAGGCCAGCGTGTGGGTTCTCTCCTGGAGGAAGGGGGCTCACTGCGCAGCCACTGGGCGGGGGTTCGGGCCCAGCCTGTCTGGCTCATGCTCTCTCTCTGCGGCTTTGCCAAGCGAGTGGAGCTGAATTTCCCTAAGTTAACACTCACGTGCACAATTCCACCCATGTCTGGATGGACGACTCCAAGCCCTGTTTTCCTAGGGTCCAAGGAAAACCCTGTCTCCTTCAGAAGCCCCTCACTCCCTCTGGGCAGGAACTGTGCCTTCATCTGTCAGTACTCAGCCTCCTGCATAGTGGCTAGTCTGTAACAGTTGAAGAAGGAAGAAGGAAGAAGGAAAGGAAGGAGGTAAGAGAGAAGAAAAAGAAACCGCAAGGCCCCCGGGAAGCGGGCTCACCTTCTGCAGCCTCTTCCTCTCTGCCCCCATGGCCGCGCGGGCCTTGACCTCCATGGTGTGCCTCTTCACCGGGTCGCCCAGCTGCCTCCCCAGCTGGCCCCCGAGACGCCACTCCTCTTCTGTCTGGTGTCTGACCCTACTACGCAGGTCGTCTTCGTATCGCTGTCTCGTGTACTCCGCTTCAACGCTAGCCTCTTTCTTGGTCTGTAAGAAAAAGGACCTTGTAAAATTGCAGAGGAGGAGTCAGGAGGGAGGGACCACCATCTCCCTTTTACACGATTTTTACAGTGTTTAATACTGATTTTACAAGACGCGTCACACGGTGCAGTAAATTTTACAAGACTGTATATTCGGCATTTGTAAAGGCTTTATTTTATCCACCATGGGAAATGGGCTCTTTGGAATGGTGGCCTACTGTTACGGGACCAGGTGTTCCAGCCCACGCTACAGAGGTTTCTAAAGAATGCTTTGTGGGACCAGCAGATGGTATATGGCTACATCATTGGACTCTCACATATTCAACAGCGGTTCCAGTCTCAGACCGGGTGGCTTGGACTCACACTGGCATGTATGTGTGCATGCCCAGGATCCCAAGAGAATGGAGGAGAAAGGACTGCAGCATGGCCATCCCCCATGGGGGGATTTCTCACTCTCTGTCTCTGTCTTTCTGGTGAGCAGACACTCCCCATAGCAAAAGCCTCTGTTGAAAAAGAAAAAAATGAAAGAATGCTTTGTTAGGACCAGTCACGCGGGGTGCTAGGCAAGCCTTCGGATTCCCAGGAGACAGTGGCTGGGAGCTGGGGGGCCTGCGACCACCCCTCCCCTTGTTTCAAATACCTGGGCCATTAGGAAGTCGGCTAGAACAGCACTGCCGCCTCGGCTACCCCTGCCACAGTGTGGCCAGCTGATCCGTGCGGGCCACCATGGCTAGCGGTAGCCTGAAGCCCAGCCCAGCTGGCCCCTGTGCCTCCCTGGCTGGTCGGACACTACCTGTGGGTCTGGGCCTCCTTCCGTGTGTGGACTCTCCTTGTGGGGGCTGGAGTCCTGCTGAGGGTGAGGACTGTGCACGTCCAGGTCACTGCCTTCCCCGGGGCCTGCGCTCTCTGAAGCCGACGCGGTCTTCCTGCCGTCTGCAGGCACACGTTTCAACATCACCTTGAGCCCCCTTGGCCCCGGCCTCACGTCCCCCTGGCCGGCCGCCCACCACGCCTGTGCAGTCCTGCCCCATGGCCTGCTGGTCCAGGCAGGTCATGCTCCGCTCTCGCTTTGGTCAGGCAGCACCCGAGCACAAAGAGCTGCCCTGCACTCCCTTCCTACACTTGGCCCTCACCTGCAGTTTTAGAGATTTAAAAATGGAGTATATTCTCCACCACTATCTACATTCAACAGGAATGGACAGGAGACGGAAAAGAAACATGACTGGGACCAGCAGTTGGCGTAATGGCTGTTGCTGGACTCCCATGTAGTCGGCCGCGGTTCGCGTCCCAGACCTGGTGGCTTAAACTCACACCGGGCGCGTGTGCATGTGTGCTCAAGATCCTAAGAGGAGAATTGAGGAGAAGGGATTATAGCGTGGCCATCCTCCCAGAGGGTGATTTCTCGCTTTCTGTCTCTCTCTGTCTTTCTGGCAATTGCACGTGTCCTATAGCAAAAACCTCTCCAAAAAAAGATAAGTAAAGTAAATCTGACCGGAACTGCTTATTTTTCTTCCCATCGTCCCTGGGTATGCATGCTCTTCCTTTGAAGCCACGCTCTGACCCCCTCGCCCTCTGGTTGCGACTCGGCCCCTCCCCAGCGTCTCACCGGGGCTCCGTGTCCCGCGACTCTTCTGTAGCACCAGCCTCTCTTTGGCCACAGCCAGCTTCTCCCCAAGTTTCTGGGCAGTGCTTTTCAGCTCCGAGTTCTCCTGCCGAGCCACCTTGAGCTGCACATCCAGGTCCTGGACAGGCAGGAAGGTCCGTTCTCTGGTCACAGTGAACAGACCCTCCAATGCACACAGCCCGGTCTGGGGTGGGCAGGGGCAGGCCAGCTGCAGGCGCTCAGGGTGGCGGGGCCCTCAACTCCCGCTCCAGTGGGATGGGCGGTGTGGACCTGGCTACACTCAACCTCTCTGTACTGAGGACGTGGTGGGATGAGTGGCCGGCTCAAAACAGATGACAAGCGAGTCAACCCCGGGGAGTCCTGGACCGTGAGTGGTGGGGCTTGGTGCTCCCTGGGGCTCACGGGCTGACTGCAGTGGCCTCGTCTGCCACACCACATCCGAGGACATCGAGAGGCACAGCGAGGTGCAAGGTGCAGGGGCTCTCGGATGTGGGATGGGCCTGAGCACTGGGGGGCTGCCTGGCTAGGCCAGTCCTGGCCTCTCAACCAGCCCCTCGGTCTCATCTGTAAGCTGTCTCTGAGCTCCTTGGGGGAAGGGCCACAGCTTGGGCTGGCAGGGCGGCGGATCAACGCTTGCAAGTGATCTCTGCTGAGCTGAGCGGGAGAGGGAACAGGGACCTCCGGACCCACCCCAAGCCAAGTGCCAGGTGCACGCGGGGCTCTAAACCAGCCACTCCGGGCGTCTCCACTGGGGACCTCCTCACCTGAACGCGCTCCTTCAGCCGTTGCGCGTACTTCCTCAGGTCGCTGATCTTGCGGCCTCTGTGCTCCAGGTCCGCTTCCAGCTTTCGGACCTGCGCCTGCAGGCCCGACTCCTGCACCTGGAAGGTCTTGCGACGGTCGGCCTCCTTCTCCTGCCACTGCCACAGGGCCTGGCTCACGGACTGCTGCATGGCCTGCCGGATGGCCTCGTTCTCGCGCTCGTAGGCGGCCTGCAGGTCCGCAGCCTTGCGCGCGTAGTCCTGGCTCAGCTGCCGGTTCTCAGCCCGCAGCCGCTCCACCTCCAGCAGGACCTCCTGCATCTCGGGGCCCCCGGCGGGCTCCGCCTGGGCGTCGGGGCTCTCCTGGGAAAGCCGGCTCCACTGCGGGGGCTCGTGGCCGGCCAGGTGCCGCAGCCGCTT